CCCTATAATAGACTTTTACATAGCCAGAGTCATCAATGTGCCCGGCCAGTTTTCCAATCATCCTTAAGGGTAGAGGTAAAGCATAATAAAACATTGTTGAGTGGAGCTCTCAAGAAAGTTCTTTACTGGGAACTGCCTCAGGTGAGCTTTAGGTGTCCTGTGCCCCATCTCTCTTCTTCCTGCTTGGAATTCATATGTGGTTGCTAGAGCTACAGCAGCCATAATGAGACCACAAGGCAAATACATATACATATATATGAAATTTATAGTTTGTTAGATGGTGACGATTACTAAGCAGTCAAAATAAAGCAAGGAAGTGGATATGAAGTGTGGAGTTTGGAGGAAGGATGGACATTTTAGAGTGCAGCCAAGGAAACCACATGGGCTTCTATTGAGGTACTCAGACGACATTTGTATAAAGACCTAAAGGAAGGGACCCAGGAGGATTTCTGGTGGAGGGACATTCTAGTTAGAGAGAACAGCAAGCACGAAGGCTGAGAGGCCAGAGCGTTAAGGAATTAACAAGGGGCTGGTGTGGGCGGAACAGGATGATTGAGGGAGTGCTCGGTAGGAGCTGATGTTAGAGAAGTGATAGGGGCAGGTCTAGCAGGGCCTTGTGGGACATCACAGGATTTTTGTTTCTACTTTGAATGAGTTGGGGTGATGGGAGGGTTCTGAGTAGCGGAGTGGCAAGATATGCCATGTTAACATGTAACTGATATTATATGTTCAGCCTTGAGATGAGGTGGAAGAGGGCAAAGGTGGGAGCTCAGAGACCAGGGAGGTGACCGCATCATCCAGGTAAGAGATGGTGGTGGCTTGGATCGAGTGAAAGCAGTGGCGCTAGGACAATGGGGGATTCTGGATCCAAGGAAGAGCCATCACGATCCACTGGTGGACTAAGTATGGGCGGAGGAGAGCTCCAAAAGTTTTGGCCTGAGCAACTGGAAGCTATTAATGGAGTCGGAGCAACCTGTTTCCTCTATCCTGGCCCTCAATAGGAGGAGTAGGCTTTGAGGGGGAAGAGCAGAAGGTCAGTTTTGGATATTTTGAATTTGAGATGCCCATTAGACACCAAGTGGAGATGTTGAGTAAGATGGATACGTAAGTCAGAATCCAGGGGAGAGGCCCGGTTTGGGAACCATCAGGACACAGATGGTATTTAACATCCAGTAAAGGAGGCTTAGAAAGAAGCCAGAGGGGAAGGAGAAAAACCACCAAGTCTGAGGCCATGAGAGATTGAGAGATGATGTCCAATGCTGTGTCAATAAGGTGAGAACTGAGTACTAAATATAAGGATTCAATAAGCTGGCCATCTAAACACTTCAGAGGAGTTCGTGGCACATGGTAAGCACTCAGTAGATGGACGGTGGAATTTTATATATATTACACGCAAACATACACATACCCTGTATTAGTGCTAGCTACCAGAACTTTCGATGATGATGTAAATGTCCTCTATCTGGGCTGTCCTGTACTGTAGCCTCTTAGACACGTGTGGCTATTGAGCAATTGAAAATGTGACTAGTGCAACTAAGAAAATACATCTGGGGAGATGTTGAAAAATTGTGGATTACTGAAACGACTCAAAAAAAAAATACGGTGTTGAAGTGTGCAATATATTCCCACAAAGCACCCTCAGGTGCACATCCAAGCCAAGTGTGAATTCTACATCCCTGTCCCTGGACCTCCCACCCTGGGACCTTAGGATCTCTTCCATTGCAGCCATGCACACTTAATTTGAAAAAGGAAGCCCCAGTATATTTTGATGTAGTAATTAAATTAAAATTAATATTAAAACTTGAACAGCTATATGTGGCTAATGGCTACTGTATTGAACCAAACAGTTTCATAGTCTATTCTGTAACCTATCTTAAATGTTCTCTAGAAATTATGTGTTTAAGCAGTTAATAAATGAGTGATACAGAAGGGCCCTTTGGTAAGGTTTAAAAAACCAGGTATGAAGGAGAGGAGAACCTGAGTGAACAAGCAGAGGCCAGAACCCTGAAGAAAGAGTGTAAGACACTCAAGGACTCACGTCTTGGTTCTGTCACTTAGCTGTGGGTCCCAGGCAAGTTACTTAACCTCCTAAAGCCTGATTCTTTTTCTGAGAAGAGCGATTGGAACAGCTGACCTCCAGCCAGAACTAACTACATAATTTGGCGAGTCCAGTGCATAAAAGAAAAAAAATGTGGGGCCCTTTGTTCAACCATTACTAAGAATTTCAAACTGGCAACAGGGGAGCATGAAGCTAAATGTGGGCTGTTCTGAGGGCAGGGTCCACTCTCCTGCCCAGGTGGCATGCCAGTGAGACTGCTTCCCGGGTTCTGAGAGGCCCTGGTGGGGGTGGCAAAGTATTGGCAGTGGGCATGGGCGTGAGGGCTGAGACAGTCCGGGCATTTCCTGCTGCCTAGTTGCTGCTGGCCTGGGGTGGAAGGAGGGGTGGGAGATGTTTCCTGACGTCTGTTTTGAGTTTTCCCTTTTTCCAAGTCCTATTTACAGCAAATCTTTCTCTAGCTTGTTTGTTGTGTGGGTCTCAAAGGACCACAGGCCAGCTCCCGGCAATTACCTTCATCAAAAGCTGGAGGTAGGGGCCACCCTGGCTCAGCTCTGTAATTAATGGGATCCTAAGAGGCCTTAAGAGGCCAGAAGAAAGGAGGGAATTGGGCTTGAGACTGATCTCTACACCTTGTTTCCTCATAAGCAACTTTTAATGCCAAAAGGCAGCCCCGTGAATCCCCAGAGGACAGTGAGCCCTGGGGTGGGGAATTATTCACTTCTCTCTGGAGCAGAACTTTGGCCAAGGGTCACTTGATTAGGCACCTTTTTACAGCAATCCCACGCATGTGTAAAATTTAACACCCTCTTCCTTCTGGAGCAGGGGTCCACGGAGGCATGGGCTGAGGGCTGGGGTCAGAGTCGGGCACACAGGGTTTGGAGGTACTCTGCTCTGTGGCTCTAACACCAGGTTCCAGGGCATCCCTTGGCCTGGGGGTGGAGCTGCCACCACAAAGGGCAAGGAAGGTAGAGGTGGGAGCAGGAGTGCCCTGTGCCCTGGCTCATTGTGCCTGAGGCTTCTTTCCACCAAAGTTTATGGCATCTTGGAGGAAGAAAACAAGATGGGAGAGATGAGGATCCCGTGCAAGCCCTGGGCCATCCCTGGCAATCCCTCACCTCATCCTGGATCCAAGAACTGGGTCCTCCTGGGCTGAGCTGAGCTGCAGAGCACAGCAGAACGGCTACACAGTGGTCGGCCTGCCTCTTGCAGGTTTGTGTCCTTTGGCAAGTGACTCCATCTTACTGGCCCCGTCCTCACCAGTAACTGGAATTGAAGCTGCTGCTGGGATCATCAGAAGCGGACGCAAGCTGAGGTTTGCAAAGCTCTAGCACAGGGCATTTGCCTGGTATCTAATCCCTTCCCTCCATCTGGCAGCCTCAAGTATGACACCTGCCTGAAGTCACTGTGAGGTACAGTCTGTCTCTAACCTGACAGTTCAATGTAGCAGACATCGCTGTGAGGGCACCTGCTGTGGTGGGCCATGTGAGGTAGACAAGCCAAGCTCAAAACGTGGACTCCCACATCCGAGCAAAGTATAAAGACATGCAAGTCCAGACATCTAAGCAATTAAACTGGTGTACCTAGATGCAGTGTTAGGAATCACGACTGCTGCCCTTTAGAGGGAGAGCTCAGTGGGGCTGGAGGGCTTCTCGGAGGAAGCAGGCTCTGTGGTAGACTCTGAAGTACTGTTGGTTTTCCTGGGGAGGAAGGGAAGGCACTCTGCAGGGCTGTCCAGGAGCAGCGGCACAAATGCACAAGGAGGCGGCAGCGCCGGAGGCACCGTGAGGAATTGGGGGGCTGTTGGGATGCAGCTGAAGTCATGGGGTGCGTTGAGGGCAAGAGGTCCCGAGAGGTAATGAGAGCTACATGGTAAACTGGTAGTGTGCACCTCAGCAGGTCAAGGATTTTGTCCTGAGGGACAAATCTGGGGTACAGATTTCAGAGCGAGGGAGTCGCATGGTGGAAAATAAGTGGTGGAAAGGTGGGGTGGGTAGTAGAATCCAGGGAAGAGTCCAAGTTGGACCCAGTATTCTGGGCCTGGGTGACCGGAGGAATCCAAACAATTAAGGGACCATAGAAGATTTAAGCTTATATAGGCATTTGAGAAAAAGAACCCAACTCACGGCCACACAGTTACTGAGGGGCAGAGTCAGGAAGTGAACTCACCTTAAAGCAGAGAAGCTTTAGGGTAAAGGGACAGGGAGAGAATGAATTTACCTCTGGGAAGATCAGGTTTGGGATACAAAGGGATATCCGCGTGAGGCTGCTGGCAGCCCTGACTTCCTGATGCTGGCAATACCTGCTCTGGGAAGCTAGCCACCCAGCTGTGAAGCCCCAAACAAGGAAGCCCGGGTCCCTGCTGGCAGCCAGCACTCACGTGCCAGCAGTGACACCACCCTCTTCAAAGTGCACCCAGTTGAGCTGCCCAGGGGCCACACAAAGCAGAGAGAAGCCATCCTTGCTGAGCCCTGCTCAAATTAGACTTGTGAGCAAAGTGACAATTGTTCTGAAGTTACTAAGGTTTGGGGTGGTTTGTTATGCAGCAGCACCTAGTCTCTCCAAGTACAAGGTGGAGGGTGGGGTCCCATCTGGAGCGTCCCTCTCCCTTCCCTTTGCTTGTTTTGGTGGCCAGTGCCTGGCACCGGGCTCAGAACTCAATTGCAGTGGTGGCGAGGGTGGCCCCTGAGCTCCGAGGGGGTCAGGTCTTGGGAATGGCCACATAGAGAGGGCTCATGTTGCCTCAGCAAGAACAGAGCAGAAAAGCGCTGGTCTCCGAGATCAGACCACTGGCAGCCCAGAGCCCAGCTTCCTGTACCATCAACACATGGAGATCATGTCTGCCGAGCCCATGCTGAGATTGGCACAGTAAACATGGGAGATTTGGGCTTCCCCTGAACCAGGAGACAAGTAGCCAAAGCATTTAGACAACTTGATGCTCATTTTTTCCCCTGCATGTTTATTTTAAAAAGTCTAGAAAATGCATAAAATGCTACCTAAAAGGTATCTACAACAATAATAAATTATTTCCAGTTAAGCATTGCAGATCCATGCAAACCAGTCTCCTTGCTTTTACCAAGTTTATGTCCCACGGGTTATGCTTTTCCCACTTGACTCTTCCTCGAAGTTTTTTACCCCATCGGTCCTGGATGAGCCAGGCATCCTCACAGGCTCAGCAGATGGACGTGGAGCGCGGCCAGGGTGGAGCAGCCCCAGTGCAGAGGGGCACTGCACTGGCACACAAGGGGCTTCAACATGTGTCTGCCTTCCAGCGGCCCTGAAGTATTTTTTACATAACTGGGATCTGGAAGAGCCAGGGCTGGCCCCTTCACGGATGCATATTTCAGAAAACATTTAGCCTACCTGAAGTCTCAGGAAGCCAGCAACTTGGCCTGAGGTTTTCAGTTTTCAGTTAAGAGGAGCCGGCCACATCGGGGCCTTTGTCAACAGATGTGGTGTGGGTGACGACAGCTGGCCCAGAGGCGGTTGGCCACGCTTCAGGGAGGAATGCGGAGCACCAACCGAGCGAACTTTAGGAGAGGACAGGAGGCCAGGAGGGCAGAGAAGCAGGGCCAGCGCTGCAATGGCCATTTTAAATAACACTTCATTTGAAGGAAGCTGCGGACCCTCCTCTGGCCCTTCGTGGAGGAGGTTCGCCCACACCTCAGTACAAGCAGCTGAGGGTAACTGGGCAGCAGCCAGCCTCTCAGAAGCGAAAGGTGCCAGAGGAAGCACTGAGGCGTAATTAAAAAAACAACTACAAAGACTTCCTTCTGGAAAGGGTTCAGGTGGCCTTGGAATACACACATTTAGGAGATGGCAAAACTCCTTTTCTTGAGGGCAAAGTAGCACACAAACAAGCCTAGACAGTGCTTTTCAAGGTGAATTCACTGAACATGATGAAGTACATGTATTTTGTGAAGGTTTGGCCACAGACATACTGAACTTTGGACTCTGCTGACAAGCCGTAGCACAATCCCTCTCCTTCCAGGTTAGAGCAGGGCTACAAGGGCAAACTCCCACAGAAGCTAAACTGGGAATTAGATTAAATGGCCGATGTGGGCCATGAATAAGAACAAGCCTTCTTGAAACACACACCAGCCTCCAAAGCATGACTTCTCATTTGATATGACAGATGGGTCCCAAACATTCCATTTCATATGAGAAAAAGCAATCCTGCAGGTGCACTGCTCATATCAACAGCTGCTCAGCCTCAGTGTGGGAAGCAACAGGGAGTGGCGGGGACTGTGGTGAACCGGTGAACCTGATGATCCAGCTAAAGGTGGAGATACTTCTCAACTCTAGCGGGCTGTTGGTGAGGGTGTGAACAGTGGTATGGCCAGATCTTCTAATCCAGATTGCTATGTAAAAATTTTATCATTGTAAATTATAAATATATATATAAACAAAACATACCTGTAGGCTGGATCATTTTGTAGACCCTCTTGCAGCAGCAGGAAGTTGTGGTAGACAGAATAATGCCACAATGATGTCCAGAATTGTGGACATTACCTTACATGGCAAAAGGGTCTTTTCAGTGTGATTAAATTAAGGATCTTGCCATGGGGAGATTATCCTGGATTATTTGTTGGTTTTATAAGCAAAAAATCCTTACTCGTGAAAGAGGGAAGCCGGAGAATCAGGGTCACAGTGTCTTGGTTTGACCAGCCATCAGAGGCAAGGAATAAGGACAGCCTCTAAAAGATGGGAAGGCAGGAAACATTCTCCCCTAGAGCCTCCCCTGTCTCTGCTGACACCTTGATTTTAGTTAAGTGAAAGCTGATCTCCCAGACCATACAGTAAGAAAACTGTGTTGCTTTAGGCCACCACATTTGGGGCAATTTGCTACAGTAGCAATAGGAAACTAATACAGGTAGCCAGCTAATCTCTGGTACATTTTTAAGAGATGAAGATATTCTCTAAATATCTGTTTAAAATGCCAATGTATGGTTACAGCTGGGAGAGCCACATGAGGCAATTCAAGGCAATTTCTCTTATTTCTAGGAGTAAAGGACAATGGGACTAACAGTGAATTTCTGCAGTGGGATAGCAACAAAGTGTCTTATCAAAGCAGGTATGCCTCAATGCCCTCAAACACACACCCTTTACTGGCTGGGCTGCTGCAGATTATTCCCACCTGCCAGGGTGGTCAGTAGCAGTCAAAACCTAGCCATCCAACTAGTTAGCATGAGCTGTCACTATGTCAGGGGAAAAGAGCTGCATGTTAATACATTTGACTTCTTAAATACTCAGGACCACCAAATAAATAATAATAGTAATAAAAAGGCACATTGCCATTTTCATCCAGGGGACCCCAGTGAGTGGGGACCCCTGGTGGGCTCCTAGGGATTGGAATTGTTGACCTGAAGAGGTCCTTATCCAAATCCGAATCCAGGGCTCTTTGCAACCCTGTACTGGGTGACTCACACCTCTCCCCTCTCATTTTGGGCTGGTTTTAAACCAAACCTGAGTTTAGAAGGGCATGAACCGTGATGACTACATCCAGATCAGAATTCATCATTTTCAATGTCTCATCATCAGAATGAGTCCACTTGGAAGTCAGAAGTTGGTGGTCCCCAGGAAAACCTCCTGGTGTTCCTTCCATATGATCCTCTTCTTTAGGATTTCTGATTGGGAACCCTGAGGGGTGTTTCAGTGTCCCGCTTTATGCAAAGTCTCTGGGAAGGGGGCCAAGTTATTCCCCAGGCTCCTCTGGCTCATGGGTGTCCAGTAAGGGAATTTCTGTGTTCGCCTTGCTTACATTCACTACAGTGGGGTGGGAGAAGGTGTACGGTTCACTCTCAGACTCAAGAGGGGAGCCAGGGGATGGCTCATTTGTGGCTAACTTCACAGTCAGGGCCCGGGAGCACAGGGTGGGTGGGGAGGGAGCGCAGTCCTCTGTGAGGCCCTGGAAGGGTTGGTAGGTGTCCACCTCCGGCGGCAGGAAGGACCTGCTGGAGTCCTGCAGGAGATGCCCATACACCATGGTGTCATCAATGACTGCATACACGTGGGAGTCATTGTCCCTGCGTCCTTTCTGAAACTTCTTTTGCTGCATCGGCATCTGGGTGTTGACGTTGCCATTGTAGATACCTACAGCTGGCCCCTTGTTTATCTTCCTTTTCCTGTTGAGAGAAAGGGAACAAGACAGAAGTCAGGAAGAAAATGATCTGAGATGTGCACCATCTGTATATCCCTACTGGAACTCAGCCTTCAGGGGTCTAACCGTGTCTCCACCAAATAACTCAAATCATGTAGCATCTGAAACCGAAATCACTGTCCTCAGTGCACATTTGGAAGGGACCAGCTTCTGTTTCCAGTTTTCAAATTGGAAATGGAGTGGGAAGTGGTTTAGGGAGTGCCCTTGAATTAGCTCTAGTCGGTGTGTGGTGTTCGGTGGTGGGGAGACCTGCCAATCCCCCTTTCCTACTAGAAAGGGGTGGTGCCCCAGCCCAGGCACATCAGGATGGAAGGCTGTAACTTAGATTTTAGCTGAGGGTGAGCACAGAACTCACAGAACTCAGCACTAGCAGAGGGTCCTGCCCCTTCAGAAGTAAGCTCCAATGAGACAACAGGCTGAAAAGAAGACAGATTCAGGCTGGGGCGCCAGAGTTCCTCAACAACACCATTAATGTTTGGTTTGCCATGTTCTCTGGTTCTTGGAGATGGACAAGCATTAGCACTCTTTGCCACGGGAAAAACAACGCTTTGCCCTCCATCTTCACAAGCCAAAAGCAGGGGATCGTGACTCCTTAGCTGCCCAATGATTCAAATGGGGACATCAGATCAATTAATATGATGGGCCATAAAATGCAGAGGCTGGCCGTTCACTAATTGTGGACAGCCTCCCTGTATTTTTCTGAGATAAAAATAAATCTAGGACATTTAGCTTGAACAACTGAGTTCTGAACACAGGGTGTATGTATTCCATAAAGGCTCCTGCCTGCAGGCCTGATGGGGGCCCCTCTGTGCTCCCAGCACCTTGTCTGTACCCTCCGGAGCTCTTCTCACGCTGCCCGGAGCCCAACTGGTTATCAGCCTGCCCCTTTATGCTCTCTGCCCCAGAAGAGTCTGTGTCTTGCTCACTGTTATATCCCCAGCACGTTGCATGGTTCCCAGAGTCTGGAAGACCCTCAGAAATACATGTTTAATGGGCACACTCAAGGGTGCTGCCTTCTGAATCCACCCACCCTCCTACACCATCCTGGGGATAGACAGGGCATATGCAAACCTGCCAGCTAGGGACGTCCCCAGGCACAAGGCCAGAACTGGGCAGTTCAGTGACGGAGGGAGTGCTGGGCCCTCCCCTGCCCAATTCCCTAATGATGAGAAGCCGGGGCGCTGCATTACCACCATGCCTTCCGACCTGGGTGGGGTACACTGTGCACCCCAGACAAGGAAGTTTCCTGAGAGCAACAATCCTTTCCCCATGAGTGACATATGTGCCAGCCCATGTCACAGAGAAGAGGCCTCTTCCTGGATCTGCTGTGGGCAGGTCCCTCCTCATTATCAGACGTATTGTTGATTAGGAATTCCAGCTGTTTGCTCATGGCTCCGATTAATAAAAAAATTTTTTTTTGGTGTTTTAGAAGGTCAAATCATGCTAAGGAAAAAAAAAACTATCCCCCCTCTCTCATGGATTTAATTAGAAATATAAGCAGAATCGATCAAATCTGGCAGCAGGGTGCATTCTGTAATGGTTTCCTTTATAAAACAGAAGCTGTCGTCCTGAGGGGGTGGAAGGCGAGACTGAGTCAGCTAACTGGGTCCTCCTTCCTGGGGCCCACGGGGTTGGTTTTCTGCTGCTTGTCTGGAGTCCAGTAAACAAGCATAAAACAGATTATTTAAGAAACTGGAGGACAACATGCCGGGGCAGCAAGGGTTTACTTTCCTCAAGGTGACAAGAGGCAGCGTGGCCCAAGGCCTGGTCTGGCAGGGACCACGTGAGCATTTTCCTGCCCAGACCACCCCTGAGAGGATCACAGTCTAACTATGGCAAATGGCTCGGGGATTTGGTCAAAGGCAGCTGCATAAAAACTACAAGGCTAAAGTGCCACCAGCACGTCTTTGGATTTTGCTTTTTCATCCCCTTGCTAGGTGTGGGATATTATCCCCCTCCAAGCAAAACTCACATCTGGCAAAATTATTTAACATTGATCTCCGGGGGAAAATGGGGAGCAAAACAAAAAGTCAGTAATTAATGGCAGCTCTGGTCTCTGTGATCTGAGGAGGCATCAGTTCAGCTGAAGACAGCTGGAGAAATTCCACCTACTTCTTTTTCACACAGCAAATGATGAATCCGAGGGCAAATAGCAGTAATACACTGCCTCCCACCACCACGACAACGATGACAGTCAGGTCTGTGAGCAGAGACACAAGGGGGAGAGATGGCACACGTGGGGTCAGGCTGGAGAAGACGGTCCCCAAAGATGGCTGCCACCCCTCTGGGCCCCCCACATGCACATGCTGCCCACCACACTCATGAGTCTCTCTCCCTCCTTGACTCTGCGCTGGGCTGGTCCTGGGGCCTGGTCACTTCTTGCACATTCTCTTTAGGGGAATCACCACATAAGACATCTGACTGGCTGAGACCACCAGGCTGGGAGGAGGCCCGACCAGCCAGGGGAGACCCCCTGAACACAGGGAACCATAGAACCTGGCTGAAAGTGAGCACAAGCCTCCAGCCACTTGTTCAAGCTCTCTCACTGAGGGTAGCGATGAGCCACTCTGCCAGGCCCTGTCCAAATTCCCACCCCAGAATTCAAGCAAACAGAATGGTTACTGTCGAAGACACTAAATCCTGGGGGAGTGCGTTACACAGCGACAGGTAACTAAAACAAACTGGGGAGCCTACCAGGTCGACTCTGAAGGTTATACTCCTGGCCTCTATCAGGTGTGTCCCCCCAGTCACACCACCTATGTGGGAGGACAGAATAGCAGAGGGATGCAGGAGAAAGCAGGGAGTCAAAAGTCAGAAGTGAGAGAGTTAAGGGGAGGGGGTTTCATTTGTGCTGTCCTTTTCCTACAGTTGCCCAAAGGAGAAAGAAAATAAATCAGAGAGGAGTCCTGCACCGAACAGGGATTTACGGTTTCTTGCTTGCTCAATCAAGAAAGAAGATTAAGAGAAAACAGAGACAGAAATAACTAAAAGAAATGAATGTAAGAGGAAGAAAACCTGCGCTAACCTGAGAGTGTGGGAGAGCTTTTCACTCGTGGGTTCCGGTTCCTGTCAGGTCTCCTGCTGCCAACTGGCGGAGGGGCCCTGGGGGGACGCCCAGCCTCTCTGACCGCCCCAGGGGAAGGGGTCAGGAGGAGGAGCCTCCAAGGTCCCTTCTGCTTCCTACACTTTGTGACGCTCTGTGACTCTCTTGGAGTCAAGGGCAAACACGGCCCCAGCACAGGTCACCCTGCTACACGAGCACTTCCTGACTTGAAACGCTTCATGGATCCGTGCAACCTCAAGCACAAAGGCAAACTCCTCATCTTGGCCCTGCAACCTGCCACCAAGGGTGTTTCACAGACACCAGTGTTCCAATGGACTGAGTTAATTAAAAATGTCACTGTCTCCAGCTCCCCACATCTGAATCACCAACACCGAATTCCCAATGATACTTTCATGAGTTAGCTGGTATCAGCTACTCTACAGATGAGAATGAGAGGAGTGAGGGACTTGCCCTGCAGCAGAGAGAGACTGGCAGAGAAGGGCAGGGCTAGATGGACAACTAATACTCCCTCATTCCACCCTCCCTGAACCCTGTCCTCTACTGTGTGACTCTTGAGCCCCTCCCGTCAAGAGGCAGAGTCTGTCTGTCTGCTTCTGGGATCTGGGCTGCCAAAAGAATGCTGTAGAAGGGATGGTGTGTGAGCTCCTTTTCCTAAACCTGAGCATCAAGATACCTTAGCTGCCTCTTCCAGCCTCTCCTGGATCTGTCCACCTCTGCCTCGGGAACAGGCCCAGGATGGAGGACAAGAGCCCCGGTGGAAGAAGTCCAGCTATCCCAGCTGATCTTGGTGGGGTCCCAGACACGTGAGAGTCCCTGGCCAAGATCAGCAAAGTCCTCTAGTCAACCTACAGCTGCCCACAAGTGCACAACTGAGTGAATGCTGAAAATGCTCAGACCAGAATCATCCAGCCAGCAAGTAAGCAATAATAAATGGCTGTTTTTAAGCTATGGAGTTCTAGGGGTGGTTTGTTAGATAGCATTAGTGATTCAATAGCTGACTGATATGTGAACAGCCAGGACTCAAATCCATTTTTTCTACCTTGCCTCCTAGGCTGGCCGCTTACTCCTCAGCTGACAATTTGCTGTCCACCACCATCCCCAAAAGACCTTGGAGGACCTTACCCGTAGTCCTTGGGTTAAGCGACACTGAGAAGAGTAGGTCCAGCTGCTTGCCGCTCACAGGGCTGCAGTTGGAGATGTTGACCCAGAAGTTGTGATGGTGGAAGCTTGGCTTGGGAAGCAGCTCCTCCTCCAGGCTGAAGATCTCCTCGGCCTGGGCTCGCGGCTCCTGGATGATCATGAACGCGCGCCCTGTCTGGCAGACCACGCCAGTCCGCTCCTTGAGGAAGGTCAGGCAGGCCACCTGGTCACTGGGCACGCTGATGTTCCAGGACACTGAGGCGAGGGAAGGCAGGCCCCGGTCCCAGTTGGGGGTCCTCAAGTAGACCTTATTTTTCCTGTCTGGGATCACTGTGAAAATGCCTTCCTCTGTTGGAAAGGGAAGAGCATCCACACAGATGTTTGACTCAATCCAAGTAGAGAGAAAAAGGAGTGATGGAGGAGGAGAGGATGTTAGATCGTCTAGACCAGACCAGGGCTGTCTGATAGAGCTTTCTGTGATGAAGGAGGTAGATGTTCGGTATCTGCACCATCCAATAGGTAGCCACAGCCTCATGCATCTATCTGTTAAGGCCTGAAATGTGCCTGGTGTCACCGAGGCACTGGATTTTTAATTTTATTAATTTAAATTTGAGGAGCCACATGTGGGTGGTGGCTACTGTATTGGTCAGCGTAGGACTACTCTCTGTCAGAGTCTAGCTCAGGTCTATTGAAGAAACAAAACAAGCACACAAACAAAAAACAGGCTAGCTTGCCAAACTGATGGTTCTCTCAGGTTCCTTTCAGAAATGCCCTCGACACAGCTAACACTCGTCTGATGGCTCACTCCCTGGTGGACTGCTGTATACTGATTTCTGTTTCAGAGATTAAAATCTTCAGGTTCTGGGTGTGGGGAGATAGGATTAAAGGTGGCGGCATGAGAGGTGAGACAGAAGCTTCCTCCAAAAACTGCATGTAATATGAAAATATAATTAATACAACTAATCCTGAAAGAGCAACAGGAAAGAGGACTGCGCCAAACTACATATAACTGGAGAAAAGAACAAACCTCACGGAACAGGGTAACGTACCAAAGCCATGGCCCGATGGGACCCAAGCCCTTCCCCCACCCCAGCTCACTGGCAGAAGGAAGAGAAACAGAGCAGGGAGGGAGTGGAGGCCTGGGACTGCTGAATACCTAACTGCAGAGATCTGCTCTGGGAGCACAAACCTACATTTGTTGGTGCTTTCATGGTACTCTCATGATTAGGGGGCTGGAAAGCTAAGACAGGCAGAATACCTGGAGAGACTGAGACTGCAGCCAGTTGTGGAAAGCAGGGATCCATATCTGGCTACTCTAGGACAAAAGAAAAGCGGACAGTCTGAGAGACTTCCTAACAGCAAGAGGGCTGCTAAAGAGGAAGGACTGCACAGAGCTTACTGCTCAGGAGAAAGGACAGGTAGACAAAATTATCCAGGTGCCCTCTGCTCAGCAGGTTGGGAACTTTGACGATCATCAGGTGCTCCAACACCCTGGCTGGCTACACAGCTCCAAGGACTCCCTCTGTGATACGCAGCCTACTGCGCCTTTCTCCTGGCCAGCCCCACCTGGCTCCACAAACTGGCAAACCCTGCCCTGGCATCAGGCCAGCCAGAGGGAAGCCCTGTCTACAGTGCAAATCATAGAGGCTTATACCTGTGTGCTCGGCCCACTGGTTCAGGCAGTGGATACAGGCATAGTAGCCGGGAAGCAGGAAATGCCAAAGAAACCTGGTTCAAAGTAAAATTATGTATACAACACCTGAGAAAGATTCAAATGAAATTGACCTCATGAATCTTCCTGAAAGGGTTTTCAAAATAAAAATCATTACCATACTCATAGAGGTACAGAAAAATATTCAAGAACTCAGGAATGAATTCCGATCAGAGATCCAATCATTACCAAACACAGTATCAGAAATGAAACATACAATGGAAAGTTTTAAAAGCAGATAAGATATGGTGGAGAAGACAATAAATGAAATAGAAATTAGAAAAGAGGAATATAAAGAATCTGAGGCACAGAGAGAAAAAAGGATCTCTAAGAATGAAAGAATATTGAGAGAACTGTGTGACCAATGCAAGCAGAACAATATTTGCATTATAGGGATACCAGAAGAAGAAGAGATAGAGAAAGGGATAGAAAGTGTCTTTGAGGAGATAATTGCTGAAAACATCCCCAATCTGGGGAAGGAGATAGTCTCTCAGGCCATGGAGGTGCACAGATCTCTCAACACAAGGGACCCAAGGAGGACAACACCAAGACATATAATAATTAAAATGGCAAAGATCAAGGATAAGGCAGACTATTAAAAGCAGCCAGAAAGAGAAATAAGATCACATACAAAGGAAAGCCCATCAGGCTATCATCAGACTTCTCAGCAGAAACCTTACAGGCCAGAAGGGAGTGGCATGATGTATTTAATGCAATGAAGCAGAAGGGCCTCAAACCAAGAATACTTTATCTGGCAAGATTATCATTTAAATTTGAAGGAGGGACTAAACAATTCCCAGATAAGCGAGAGCTGAGAGAATTTACATCCGACAAACTGTCTCTACAGTGTATATTGGACAGACTGCTATAGATAGAAGTGTTCATAAGGTTTAATAGCTGTCACCAGAGGTAATAAAACCACAATAAAGAAAGTGGAACAGATAATTACTAAGCAAATGCAAAATTAGATTAACTATCCCCAGAGTAAATCAAGGGATAGACAAAGAGTACAGAATATGATACCTAATATATAAAGAATGGAGGACAAAAAAAGAGAAAAAAAGAACCTTTAGATTGTGTTTCTAATAGCATATTAAGTGAGTTAAGTTAGACTCTGAGATAGTAAGGAAGTTAACCTTGAACCTTTGGTAACCACGAATCTAAAGCCTGCAATGGCAATAAGTACACACCTATCGATAATCACCCTAAATGTAAATGGTCTGAATGCACCAATCAAAAGACATAGTCACTGAATGGATAAAAAAGCAAGACCCATCTATATGCTGCCTACAAGAGACTCACTTTAAACCCAAATACATACACAGACTAAAAGTGAAGGGATGGAAAAAGATATTTCATGCAACTAATAAGGAAAAAAGAGCAGGAGTTGCATTACTTGTATCAGACAAAATAGACTTAAAAACAAAGAAAGTCACAAGAGACAAAGAAGGACGTTACATAATGATAAAAGGGTCAATCCAACAAGAAGATATAACCATTATAAATATCTATGCACCCAACACAGGACCACCTACATATGTGAAACAAATACTAAGAGAATTAGAGGGGAAATAGAATGCAATGCATTCATTCTAGGAGACTTCAACACTCCACTCACTCCCAAGGACAGATCAACCAGACAGAAAATAAGTAAGGAGACAGAGGCACTGAACAACACATTAGAACAGATGGACCTAACAGACATCTACACAACTCTACACCCAAAAGCAGCAGAATACACATTCTTCTCAAGTGCACAAGGAACACTTTCAAGAATAGATCATATACTAGTCCACAAAAAGAGCAACGGTAAACTCAAAAAAAACTGAAATTCTATCAACCAGTTTCTCAGACCACAAAGGTATGAAACTAGAAATAAATTACACAAAGAAAATAAAAATCCTACAAACACATGGAGGCTTTACAACATGCTCCTAAGTAACCAATGGATCAATGACCAAATTAAAAGAGATCAAACAACATATGGAGACAAATAACAATAATTCAACACTGCAAAATCTGTGGGATGCAGTGACGGCCATGCTAAGAGGAAAGTATATTGCAATACAGGGCTACCTCAGGAAAAAAGAACAATCCCATATGAACAGTCTAAACTCACAATTAATGAAACTAGAAAAAGAAGAACAAATGAGGCCCAAAGTCAGTAGAAGGAGGGACATAAAGATTAGAGCAGAAATAAACAAAATCGAGAAGCATAAAACAATAGAAAGAATCAATGAAAACAAGAGCTGGTTCATCAAGAAAATAAACAAAATAGATAAAACCCTGGGCCAGATCTGGGGGGATTAAAGATGGGGGCGGGGGAGGAGAGACAGAGGCTTCCTCCTAAAACTGGATACAATTAGAAAATTTAATTGGCACAACTAATCCTGAGAGAACAACAGTAAAGAGGACGGCATCAGACTGCACACACGTGGAGGAAAGAGCAGACCTCACCGAATGGGGAAACGTACCAGAGCTGTGGCTCTGCGGGACCTGAGCCCTTCCCCCACCCAAGCTCATTGGGAGAGGAAGAGAAACGGAGCAGGGAGGGAGTGGAAGGCTGGGTATTGCTGAATACCTAGCTCTGGAGATCTGCTCTGGGAGCACAAACCTACATTTCATGGTGTTTTCATGAGACTCGCATGACTACCTAGTTGGAAAGGTAATACAGGCAGAGTTCCTTGGAAGACTGGGATTCCAGTTGCTTGTGGAAAGCAGGGATCCAAATCTGACTGCTCTGGGACAAAAACATACCTGTGTGACCGGCCCACTGGCTTAGGCAGTGGAGACAGGCACAGCAGCCAGGAGGCACGGAACAGCTCTTTCCTACCCCCAGGTACCAGTACCGCTCCCCTGCGACCCCCCACATTGCTTTGGGGCCTGAGAAGCCCCAGAATAGAGCTTCTGGACACTAGAGGGCACCATATACAAACATAAAATGCCAAAGGAACCTTGTCCAGAGTAAAATTATTAATACAACTCCCTAGAAAGATTTAAATGATATGGACCTCGTGACTCTTCCTGAAAGGGAGTTCAAAATAAAAATCGTTAACATGCTAATGCAGGTACGGAAAGACATCCAAGAACTCAGGAATGAATTCAGGTCAGAGATCCAATCGTTAAAGAACACAATGGAGGGTATTAAAAGCAGGTTGGATACGGTGGAGGAGACAATAAATGAAATAGAAACTAAAGAAGAGGAATACAAAGAAGCTGAGGCACAGGGAGAAAAAAGGATCTCTAAAAGTGAAAGAATATTGAGAGAACTGTGTGACCAACCCAAGCGGAACAATATTCGCATTATAGGGATACCAGAAGAAGAAGAGAGAGAGAAAGGGATAGAAAGTGTCTTTGAGGAGGTAGTTGCTGAAAACTTCACCAATCTGGGGAAGGAGATAGTCTCTCAAGCCATGGAGATCCACAAATCTCAAACACAAGGGACCCAAGGAAGACAACACCAAGACACATAGTAATTAAAATGGGAAACATCAAGGATAAGGACACACTGTTAAAAGTAGCCAGAGGCAGAAATAAGATCACATACAAAGGAAAGCCCATCAGGCTAACATCAGACTTCTCAGTAGAAACCTTACAGGCAAGAAGGGAGTGGCATGATGTATTTAATGCCATGAAG